AGGCACCAAGGAACTTCAGTATGTAAATAGGGAATTATCTTTGAGCACTGTTGCTGTCTTTTGACAATATGGGCATACAGGACCTGACTATGCTGTTGTTCGCCAAAGTCACTTGTTATTTAAATCAGAGCCTCAGAGCTACCCTGCATTTCTTGCTTACCTCAATAGATTTAATGGGGCTTATTTGCATGTACATAACATTAATTGGAATTACATGCACATATTAAGGAAGTGAATATATTTCCAATGTGCAGCTTGAAAGTTTTTTTTATTATTATTATTAAAGCAGCTTTGCATTCAAATAAAAACAACCCGCATTAGTGGAGCATATCAAAGCTATACAGTAGTATTATTTTGTTTTTGTCAGCGATCTAACTGCTTTATAAAGCCAGGTAAATACCATGATTATGTATTGAAAATTGTTTAATATTATCCTATTCCACAGCTTCAAGACAGGTTACAATAGTTTAAGAAACAGAAACAGAAATTATGCAATCCAGAACCAAAGGGTAAAAAAAGAAACCTACCTCAAATTCTTTACATTTGATGGTAAACTGGTTTGTGATCAACACAAACTGTTCAGTAGAATATATTAAGAGTAACCGAGCCCAGTTAATTTTTTTAACAACCTTGACTATTTTAAATCCCTGAATACCATGTTATCATCACAAACACATTATAGCATATTAATTTGAATAAAATTAGTCACATTTAAGAAGTAAGCCACTGTTTGGAAATATAATTATGACAGATTTTCAGTAAGAACCAACAGCACTCAACGTGTAGTTCTCAATAGAACTGAATCTACATGGAGGGAAGTATGCAGTGGGGCAACCCCAGGCTCTATTGTAGGCCCAGTACTCTTCAACATCCATCAATGATTTGGATGAGGGGATAGATGGGGAATTCATCAAATTTGCAGATGACACCAAGCTGGCAGGAATAGCCAACACTCCAGAAGATAAGCTTAAGATACAGAAGAAACTTGAACATTGGGCACTATATAACAAAATGAAAGTCAATGGTGAAAAAAGGAAGGTTCTACATTTAGGCAAGAAACACCAAATGCACAGGTATAGATCTTGGAGCCCTGGTGGACAATCACTTAAATATGAGCCAGCAGTGTGCTGCAGCTGCCAAAAAAGCCAATACAGTTCTAGGCTGCATTAACAGAGGGTTAGACTCAAGATCACATGAAGTATTAATACCACTTTATAATACCTTGGAATACTGTATCCAGTTTTGATTGCCACAATGTAAAAAAGATGTTGAAACTCTAGAAAAAGTGCAGAGAAGAACAATAAAGATGATTAGGGGACTGGAGGGTAAAACTATATTAAAAATGGTTGGTGGAATTTGGTATGTTTAGGAAAAGAAGGATCAAAGGAGACATGATAGCAGTGTTCCAATATCTCAGGGGTTGCCACAAAGAAGAGGGAGTCAAGCTATTCTCCAAAGCACCTGAAGGCAAGACAAGAAACAATGGATGGAAACTAATCAAAGAGAGAAACAATCTAGAACTAAAGAGAAATTTCCTGACAGTGAGAACAATTAATCAGTGGAACAAACTGCCTCCAGAAATTATGAATGCTCCAACACTGGAAGTTTTAAAGAAGAGATTGGACAACCATTTCCTGCCTGTTTCCTGCCTAAGCAGGGGGTTGGACCTCCAAGGTCTCTTCCGACTCTATTCTGTTCTGTCCTGTTCTAAAGTCGCAGGGTTTAGCAACACTAGTATAGACTGAGACAATTTCCCTGCTTTTTATGTATCATGTGGTATGATGAAATATGTTTGGAAATGATTTTCCTTCATCTGTTACAGAACTTGAACCAAAAGTTAGAACAAACAGTTGAGACTGTGTTGTGCTAATATTTTGTTACCATTTTCCAGGAGAAATATAACTATATATTAATAGATTGCACTCTTGAATCACATTTCTGACAAACTGGATAAGTACATACATACATGCATACAAATACACAATTACAAATGTTTCCTAAAATTGTCTCATTCTGTTGTTGTTAAACAAAATACATTTCCTCTTTATGGTTGCCATAGAACTGAATTTGTAAATATCTTCTGGCTTTAATCCTTTTTCCAAAAAAATTAAAATAAAAAATGAAGGCGACAACTAAAATAAATTATCAGATTGTTAGTGAATCCTCTGATAAATCACAAGGCTAAACTGTCTATGCTGTACCACAACAGATGACATGAACATATAACACATTTTTCATATACATAGATAAATAGATGTCAGAAAGTCTTTTCCATACTCTGTATTTGTAGAGGGGTCAGGAAAAGGGATATTGTTTGATTTTCCCTGTCTGTAACTTCATTTGGCACCTAAAAATTCTGTGTATGGAAATTGGGTTGTAGTTGGACTTTGAGAGTTTAGGAAGCAAATTAACAAGCCCATCACAATAAAGTCCCTATGATCCTATGATCCCTGTGAGAGTTTAAGAGGTTATAAGAGCATCCAATAATTCAGAATTTCCATCAAAGGTATATACATAGAAAGCCAATGTATTATGAATAGCACTAGAGAGGGAAAAAGAGGAAAGGGATGTTTGCTCAGACAATGGATTTGGATGAAATCAGATTAAACTGTCCAACCCTAAAATTCTTTCTGGCAGCTCCTCATAATATTTTACTAAACAGTTTCCCTCCTTTCATTACCAATTCAATCTGCTATTCTATTGGCAGTTCAGCATGTCAACCAGCTAGCCACATTCCAATAGGTGGGATCACATTCAGTGGTGGGTTTCAACATTTTTTACTACAGGGTTCTGTGGGTGTGGCTTGGCGGGTGTGGCAGGGGAAGGATACTGTAAAATCTCCATTTCCTCCCGATCAGCTGGGACTTGGGAGGCAAAGAATAGATGTGGGCGGGGCTAGTCAGAATTTTTACTATCGGTTCTCCGAACTACTCAAAATTTCCGCTACCGGTTCTCCAGAACTGGTCAGAACCTGCTAAAACCCACCTCTGATCACATTACTACCTCTGCTGCTGCTGTTATTGCTATTGCTATTAGACTTTGCTTTCTGATATTAATTTCATTTATTGCTATAGTTTTGTGATACATTCTTTAAATTGGTATATGTTGCCTTGCTGTGATTTCATTGACCAAAGGCAAAGTACAAAACCTTTAAAAATTAGTAATTATTAAGCACCATTGTTTAGATCACAAAATGCTGAATTTTAACTCTGAATGTGAAAGAAAGAAAAATTGATTGATTATGTGCCCATCAAATCACTGTTGACTTTTACTGACCACATAGATAGTTTATCTTAATGACAATCTGTCATTAGTTCAGTATTTTTGTATTTAATTTGTAGAGGAAAAAGAACATTGTTAAAACATGGGGAGTAGTTATATTCACTGTACTCAATTTTAGTTAAGAAAAAAGTAAAGGCTTCTACTGTCCAATGTCTGACTCTAGGGGCAGTGCTCACCTAGCTGAGGGAGCCAATGTTGACATGTCTGTGGTCATGTGGCCAGCAAGACTGTATGCCGAGGTGGATGGACTGCTTTTACCTTCCCACCAAAATGGTATCTACAGTGGTGTGACCCTTCCAGTTTAACAACCGGTTCAGTGATCGTGCACTTCGCTGCACGTGCGTGCACATTTCAACAAAAAATCACCTTCCGCATTAGTGCTAGGGAATTAAAACGGCTGAGGCACGGCAATCCACTCTGCTGCGCTAATCAACTGCAAAGATAAAGGTAAGTAAAGTGCAGGGGTGGGCAGTCCGGCCCAGCTGATTGTCAGAGCGAACCGGTTCGCTCCCATCTGATCGTCGGAGCTACCAGTTCGCCCAAACTGGTCTGAATCGGTAGAATCCCACCCCTGGGTATCTATTTATCTAGTGGCATGTGCATGTTTTGAATTGCTAGGTTTCTAGGAACTGGAGCCATAAGGAGAGCTCGCCTCATTGCTCAACAGTCATGTCTCAAAACCCGGCTGTCAGCTTTCCAGCTGACAAACTCAATATCTTTAATTGGTGAGACATCACTCAGTTTTTAGTCAAACTCAGCTACAAAAAAAAAAAAACAAAAAAAAAAAACCTAGCTTTAGTTAAACCTTTTGTTGCTGTTGTTCTAACACCATTTTTGGAGTGCCATTCTAGAATGCCATACAAAGACCTAGGATCAAAGAAGAGACCAAAAAAGTCAAGTTGCCCCAAAATGTTGTAAATGAAGCACTTCCCCCTTTTCATGTCTATCACCAGTGTGTTCCATGTCAAAACTTTGACTGTATCTTTATTGCTGCTAACTGTACAGTTTTTTCCCCTGTCCCTGGATATCCCTGAAAAAAACCTAAATGTTCCTATTGGACCAAAAACCTTATTTTGGTTGAGAAATGTTTTATCAGTTCTTATAGACAAACAGATCCTCAACACAGGTTGACAGTCTGAGAATTATTGCATTTATATTTTAATTATGTTTGCCAAGTAAGGAATACACCTATAGTCAGGAACTGTACAATAACTGTGTGTGATTTCCTCGGTTGACCATTTGTTCAGCACTGTGTAACTATGCAGGAATATACAGATAATGTTGATAAGGAATGTATGAGCCATTAACGGGAAAAAAATCAGCTTAGTCCTGATAAAATAACCCTACCTTGATTCTGTTGGGTATAAAGAGAGAAGGCTTTCAAGATTCTGTTATTATATCCTACAATCTTCCTCTAATGCAGTATTTCTCAATCTTGGTGACTTTAAAATGGATGGAATTCAACTCTCAATTCAATGCTGGCTGGGAAATCCTGGGAATTGAAGTCCATATGGTTTCAAGTTGCCAAGATTGCTATAATTCTTGAGTTGTCCATTTCCTGACCTGATTTACCTCAAAGGGATGACAGTAATGAAAGCAGGAGGAACCTAACCCTGTCACATATGCCATTTAGACACATGGGGAAGGTCATCTTGTTCTCTTGAGAGATCTGGGCTTCATCTGGAAAACTTCATTGAATCTGATTGAATCCAAAAAAGTGAAGACCAAACTTGCTTTAATTTATTGTTTGTTCAGTTTGGTTTGGCTTTTTAAACTTATCTTACAAGGTACCATGATTAAAACAATAAAATCTAGAATTAAAAGAAAGTAAACAATGAAGAAAAACAAGAGCAAATAAAGAAAAAATAGAAACAAGTGTGACTGTGTGGGTGTACATATTTGTATCTCTGTGTTGCATGGCATATACATTAATATATGATTTTTGAGGAGAAACACAAAAATACAAAACATCAACTTTCAAGATTTAAACCCAAAACAATATATACAGTATGTAAATATTAGAAAAATGTTAATATATGTAATAAATTGCAAACATATTTAAATAAACCTATTAATAATTTTATCCTGTCTTGTGAACATTCTGTTTCTGAGGTCTATTTTTTAACAAAACAATTTCTAATATTTTTGAGTACTAATCATCCAAAGTAAGATATTCTTTGGCTATCCAGTATTTTACAATAACAAACCAATTTGTTACATTACATATATTTCTGTGCCATAGAAAAAAATATTCAATGAGCAAACAATGGTCAACTACATGGATTGTTGGGTGCTATGCCTAATTTTATCAACATCATTTGATTTAAAGCAGAATAAGTAACTGCTTTGCCACCTGTAATGGAATATAAGAATAAGGAAGAGAAAGAAAAACTGTAGCCAAGATAATAGTCAGATAAGAGAAATCTGAGCCCAGAGCAGGAATAGAATTTGAGAAAGACTCTCAGACTTTGCTCTCCTAATTCTCGTTAAAATAAAGTCAGGAGATGTCAAGGCACATTCAGACAAGATTCTGTTACTATAACCCTATTGTGAAAGTAACTTTAATATTCATGACTTTAATGTTCAAAGGAAAGATCACAAAATCACAAAAGAGGATAACAGAGAAGTGACCATTCTGTTGCCTTACTGAAACCAACCATCACAGAATACTTACAACCTCCACTTTCTTTACTTTGTGAAATGTTTACAAACATGGCAAAGCTGCCCTCACAATACAGTCTTCAGTGATTGACTTATTTGTCAGAGAATGACATTCCAGTGAAGAAACAAGGACTCCAGCTGATAAATGCAGACAAATCCAGGGGAAATATTTAATTGGAATATGATGTAGAACAGCGGTTCTCAACCTGTGGTCCGCAGACCCCTGGGGGGGCATGATGTCATCACAGAGTGTCCGCGAAGGCTTGAAGAAATGTTATCTAAATCTTGAATGATGTTTTGGTAATCCGTGGCCATGGTCCATGGCCACAAAAAGTATTCAAAGGGGGTCTGTGGTGATGAAAAGGTTGAAAATCACTGAAGTAGAAAGTAAACAAAATATCATTGTTGATTTAATACTGTGATAGATTTAATTTTGGGGGAAGAATAATTGGCAAAAATCTTCCCAGACTTAAATCGTAGTAAGCATGGTTTTAACTCTTCTGCTAAACCAATAATTGATCAAGAGGTTCACTTTATTTAGATTATGATTTTAGAGTAAAGTAGATAGAGTAGAGAATATTATATTATATTAAATACAGGTTAAAGAATGCAGAAAGGTAGATCTGGTGCTGTTGTCTCCATTCCTTAGAATGGTAGACTTAAGTCCCATGGAACTCAACGATTACTAATTCCAAGTAACTGTGTTTCTATAAATGATAACTCATGCCATGCACACTCCATATTAAAATGGTATAAGCATGAAGAAGAGATGATAAGAAGTTGCTATTTTGTTTGCTTCATTTGGAGAACATCCTAAATAGGATAAAAACGTTGGTTCTGCTCATTGCATTAGTGATGCCCTCCATGGCCTCTAAGAGACTAAAAAAAGTTTACATCAAGTAATTTTTCATTAAAAACATAGTGAAAATGAAAAATAAAATATTAGTTATTAAAAACAGCATTGGATTGATATATGCAGATAGAGAGAAATAAGATATAGGTCAGCTGTTCTGTTTCTCTATTATATTTGTCACCTCAGATTTTTCTTTGCATTTGGTTGTTGGCATCTTGTCATTTTTTTTGTTGTTGTTGTTATCTAAGAGCTTTAAAATGGCTGCCAATACAAGCAATAAAGAAATAAGAAAAAAACCTAAGCTCCTCCTTCTACAAGCTGGAAACATTTTTCAGGATATGTTCTTTTAAAAAATATCTAATGCTGGCTGGTGTGTCTTCCCAAACCACCTGAGTGACACAAACACTATTTACATCCTTGAATATGATGTGATTTTATCCAGATCACTTACACTCAAAGCAGGGCTGACAGAGGCCTGCCTTTCCACAGAAATATTTTTGGGGAATCGATGAATGCCAAGTCAAAGCCATCTAATTTTGAAGGAGTATCCTTTTGGGCCTTTATTACCTCAAAGGCTTAAAGCCCCAAGTGCAAAAACTTAAACAATTCTATTAGATATAATCGTTATTTTATTAACATTATTCTCCAAGGATATACCCCCCCTTCTGATTATGAGCACTTTGCAATTTTTAGACAGTATGATGGATGCGACTCTTCTATGACAAGAATTTTAACAACCCTTCTTCAGCACTCAATGCACACCCAATTATGTGTCTGAGCTAGTAACCTTGAATTTATGTTGCCATGGTGACAAACTGGTCATGCATTATGGATTATCATTGAAATTCTACACCCCTACCTAGCATAATGAGAGTTGGGGACTTAATCAAATCAGCTATTCTGTGTGACACAAAGTGAAGAACTCGCTGGTATTGTTCCACATCAAGAAAGGAAGCGGGCCTGATCAAGTGGCAGCTGCAGTCTGATAGATTGCTCCTATATACATTTGTGAATGTATAGACAGATGGTTTTCAATGCCTGGAATTTCTAGCTTAGGAAGCAGCTGTTCAGATAACCTCTGCCGTCTCACCTTGTTGTCATGGAACATTGAACAGAGACTGAGAATGTGGACAGATACATTGACAATGAACTGCATTTACTCTGCCTGGCAGCCTCCTTTCAGTTTACGAGTGGGCTGGAAGATGGGATAGAGTGGGGGAGGGGGGAATTGAAGGAGGAGCATAATGCATGAAAACTGGAAAATAATACAGGAGAATCTTGCATTTGTGTTTCTGCTTTTTGACAAGAGAAAGGGGAGAATCAGCTACCGAAAACATCCCCTTGGATTAATTTGGTTTTCTTTTCCTTTATGGTATAAAAGCAGAGTTATGGGTTCGATGCTTGGTCTCCAGCAATTTTAAACGTCTTGAAAGGCCTCTATAGCTGTCAGGACTTGGTATCTTGATGACAACTTTCAATCTTAGAAGATAACATGCTTCTTCGTTCAAAGTTTTGGATACACAAGACTGAATCTGTAGAGCAAACCAAGTCAATTATTGTAGTGCATTGTGGGGTATGAGCCATGTTTGGATGTTTCTCTTCTAGAGTTTAATCCCTTATCCCTTTCCCACATGGAACAATGTAAACTTTTCATTGCCTGCAAGAAATGGGTTTCCGGGTGGCAGCCACATTAAGCAGGTTTTATCCTTAAAACGTCTAAACAGCTGCCTGAGAAATGAGAAAGCTGAATATTGTATTGCAGAATATATTACTGATCCATCTGTTACAATTTTAAACAAAACATATTCATATATAAATCATGGGCTCATTTCCAATGTTCACAGCCCAAGTTGTGGGTTGGGTATTTGGGCTCCAAGAAATGCACATGAATCAATTCTCTGTGTGTTTGTTTGTGTGTGTGTGTGAGAGAGAGAGAGACAGAGAGAGACAGAGACAGAGACAAAGAACAGGAGAGAACATTTTTCTTCTTAGATCAAGAAAAATGCCTGATTGCCTCTGTCCCTCCAATTCAGTTGTATTCAAAGATCCTAAGGCTTTCTGAAATAGTATATTTACATATTTCCAGTTCCTTGGCTATTACTATTTCTGCAGCTATTAAAAGCTTCTTTGTACAGTAAACAGTTTATCCATTACCTGACAGATACTAGAGGAAAAAAAGACAGGGAAAAAGAAAACAAATCATCTTCTTCAGCACTTTATAGTCATTGTTAGGCACCAAACCTCTTGTTTCAAGGATTCATACTATTCTTCCCAGCCCATGTACATAATTTCCACCTGACATAACAAGCCCTATGAATGTTAATTCTCATTCATTTACTATTCGTATTAGGTGTGTTTGTTGCTTTGAGTTATTTATACAAATCGTAAAGGCAGGATAAAAAGAAATTAAACTAAATAAAAATCCGTATGCATTTTTTTGAGGGGGGAAAAAAACCCCTCTTCATTCTGAAGCATCAAACTTACATTTCATGCAAAGTCCAATTCAGGAATAAATATTCTATACTGAGACATGGTCAGCCACACAGTTTTGGGTCTAATAAATGCAATAATTTAATGAGTATAATTATTCACATTTTGTATCATCTTGAGTTTTCTGTAGGAGACATCTATCCTGAAAAAACTTCCACTCGTGCTGATTTATTAGGTGATAACAGTCCTATAGACATCACAGTGAATATGGAATTCCACTTTCTTCTCCCAATAGTCGTTCCTCCCTAGATCTGCTTTAGAGAATGGCTCTTTCACTCTTCCATCGATTCAGGCCACCACTGGATCACAGGCCTTTTGCAAATAGCCTGACATCCTTGGATCAGAAGCAAAAGTATTTATGGGATATAAAAATTTCTATCCTATCCTTCTAGTATTTACATATTACTCTGGATTGCTAATTACAAATGAAAAATGAAGCAATATAGCAACATAGAAAAAAATGGGCAAAGGCAGAGTTAAAATTTACCCTTCTTGAGAAACAACTGCCTTCCTAAAGAAAAGATTTGGAGTTTTTTTCAAAAGATTTCAGTGACTCTTTGATCCTGTGAAACAGAATCTTACACTTTGGATCTGACCAATGAAAAAGCCCTTTCAAGTATTTTCATTTCAAGCAGCATAAATTGCACAATTGCAAAATGGTTGAGTGAGTTATTCAGCAAGAAAAATAGCTGATAAATCTATGCACCAACTTGTTCTGCCTTCAGAGCCCATATCATACTATGGCTGCATTGCTAGCATAATTATTCACTTCACTCAATATTCATTGTGTGCAATATATTAAACCACTAACTTCCCAAAGCTCCAAAAATTTAAGTAAGGTTAACACATGGCATGCAAATATTTCTGATAAAACATTCATGTTATAGGTAAGCACATTATGTCATCATAATCTATGTTTGGTAGCTGATACCCAAGGTAGAAAATAGCCTAAAGCAGTTTTTTGCATCTTAGTAATTTCATATTATATACAAGGAACTACACCATAATTCTGTTGCCCAAAAACATTACCAAACTCTAGGAAAGAAGTTTTTTTTGAAATTAAAATATGAGTTTACTTTATTAAATCATTCCTTACAATATATGGTACAGTGATATCTTGGTACTCAACTGATTTAAAACTCATTGAATTTGGTACACATTTGACAAGAAAAATCCTGATACTCATTGTTTGTTTGGTACTCAACGCACAAGCTAGAATTTATCAGTGTTGGTTTCCTTGTGACTCACATTATTCCTAATGGGGAAAAAAATACCTGCTAGTTTTGGTACTGATTGTGCCTCCCAGAACCAATTAACAATGAGTACTGAGGTAGGATGTATAGAGAAACATATAACCTTATATGTGGAAGATGGAGGGGCAATAAGGGAAGAGGAGGAGATATGCCTACATGTATTAATATTTTGATAGTATTTTTGGGCAGAGGAATGGGACTAGATTAGGTAATATATATATATATATATACTCAAAATCTAATACTGTATTGTTTTATGAAACTTTCACGGTATGTAGGATCTGCCCATTTTGAATACCAAGAAAGATTTCTATCAATGTTCATGTGATCCATTTCTTCAACATGTTTTGGGATTCTACATTTATCTTTCTTCTTATTTAAAAATATAAAAATATAAAAAAGAAAAAAGACTTCTAGTCTAACTTCTGTTCAAGCAGAAGGTCCTCTACCATTTCAGATAGGTTGCTGTCCAGTCTTTTCTTTAAAACATCCAGTGATGAAGCACCCACAACTTCCGAAGGTCAGCTGGGCCCCATTAGAGATTGAGGGGTAAGGCACACGCTGCTCAGTTTCAACCCCACAAGCAATGATGGGCAGCCCTGCACCTCTTTTTTCTCCAGGGGGATAATGGGGGTGTGTTTATGGGGGGTTTTCCAGCAGTGGGAGGCCTTCTAGCTCCAGGACTTGATAGCCATTCTTGCACCATTTTGTTTTTTTTTCCACGGTGGACCTATCTGGGGGAATTCAAGGAAGATGTGGGCATTGTCCAGCATGACTGTCTGAGGAATTCTGGGAATTGAAATTCACAAGTCTTAAAGTTGCCAGGTTTGGAGACCCCTGGTCTAGACCAACCTTTCAGACAGTACTGGGTATGGTTCAACTTTGTTGTTTCTTCTCCATCCAATTGATCACAAACTCCCAGGCTGGTCCTGCCAGGTTGGCATTCCTCCCGCATGGAGTTCAGCTGTCCTCCTCAATGGGAGCGATAACGCTGCCAAGTGTACACATGTGGTGTGCTATAAACCAACCCTTTCCCACCTTCTCCTGATTTCCAGGACCTTCTAGGTTGGAACTGCAGACAGGTTTGTTCATATGGGTGAAAGCTCACAACTTGAAAGCTCATGAGAACATTCATAACACCAGATATTCAATGACATTCCCTTTTATGATGTCTGGGGAGAGGAGAGAGAAGTAGAAGCAATTAAATATATTTATTTAGTTACATCCCATCCATTTAATTATAATAGAAATGTTTTATTGCTTATAATACAGGAAGCCTTGATTTGAGAACTGGTCTAGTAGTTAAAGCATCAAACTAGAAACAAGGAGGATGTATGCTTTAATTCTACCTTAGCCAGGTGAGTAATCTTAAACCAGTCACTCTTTCTCAGCCCCGGGAAGCAAGCAAGGGCAAAGCACTTCTAAAAAAGCTTGCCAAGACAACTACAGGGACAACACTGACTCAAAGACACAACAACGACAACAACAAAAGAACCCTGGCTCCTTGATTGAATAGATCATTTGAGATAAAGGATCCCTGTTAAATCTGAATATCTGATGCATCCAAATGTCCAATATCAATGTAAATAACATCATTTGCATTTTTATGCAATTTGCATTGGTTGATGGACATGACATAATAGGGTCAATTATGTAATTACAGAAACGGCATAAATTACATCAGTTGTCTAGTTCAGGATTTTTTTCAAACTGTGTTCTATAGAAGCTTTTGGCCTCTTCAAGATCTTAATAGGATTCTGTGAGAGACTAAGGGCCAAAGGAAGGGAAAAGA